TGCTTTCTAAATCAGATAAGATGGGAAAACTGCTACAAAACCTTCACATTCATTCTCCCTTTTCAGGCACTAGTTGATGGCCCCTGCAGCGGTGTCAGGAGGCAGGCTATGCCCTTCAAGTGCATGCAGTTGACTGACTTTGTTCTTAAATTCCCTCACAGGTGAGTGATAGGCACAGTTTTTGTCCTGTGTGAAAAAACTAGTCACTTCATGACTGAAATACATGATCTGGTGCTTGCTAAGTCTTGAAAGTTCATACAACATTGAATCAGTGGATCAGTGTGTGCACAGCAGAAAATTGGTAGACCAGGTTATCATAGTTGAATGCATTTAAGTTTTCATTGCCAATGTTGCCTAATAGCTGCTGTTCAGGACCAAAGGAAATAGCACAGTGGCCAAGGCAACTCATAGGGTGTTCTGGGGTGAGTGGTGTAGGGGAAGCAGTTGCAGTGAATGTTGTGCAGCTTTGCTTTTGCTACTGCATAGATCACTTTCAGGCATTAAATTCATTCCCTGCCTACAGAACTAGAGAGTCTAGTTAGAGGGCCACCTTGGTGGAAAGCAGCTGTGTAGAGAAGGACCTGAGGGTCCTGGTGGACAAGCTGTCCATGAGCCAGCAGTGTGCCTTTGTGACCTAGAATGCCAGTGATATCCTGGGATGCATTAGGAAGAGCATTGCCAGCAGAGCAAGGGAGGTGATCCTGCCCCCCTGCTCAGTCCTAGTGAGTGCACTGGAGTGCTGTGTCCAGTTCTGAGCTTCTCAGTACAAGAGGGACATGGAGCTCCTGTAGCAGGTCCAGTGGAGGGCAACAAAGATGATTAAGGGACCAGAGCACCTCACTTACAAGGAAAGGCTAAGGTTCAGCCTTGAGAAGAAGTTACTGAGAGGGAACTTCATCAATGTCTGTAAGTATCTGAAGGAAGGGTATCAAGAGGATGGAGCCAGGCTCTGTTCAGTGGTGTCAACCAATAGGACAAAGAGACAACAGGCAAAAACTGATGCATGGGAAGTTCCATCTGAATATGAGGAAGAACTTCTTTACTTTGAGAGTGACCATGCACTGGAACAGGTTGCCCAGAGAAGTTGTGGATTCTCCCTCACTAGAGATACGCAAGAACCATCTGGATGCCATCCTGTGCCACGTGCTCTAGGATGACCCTGCTTGAGCAGGAAGGTTGAACCAGATGACCCACTGTGGTCCATTCCAGCCCTACCCATTCTGTGATTCTGTCGATTCTAGCAAAGCGTTTACAGAATGTTATTGGGCTTCAGAGATGTATGTGGCATTGACTTAAAGTAAGGTGTCTGAAGTAATGTAGAAGAGTGATTTTTCTGTCCTGTGAAATTGGGTAGGTCAGGATCAGGGAGAACCTTTTTTTATAAAGACTGTGGCTATAATTTTGTGGCTGTTCCAATGCAGTGCTCGTCAGAAGTGTGTGCGACTTGCCTGGGAGAAGGAGAACATAAATGAAAAGTGGTCAGCAACAAGATGGGCAAAGAAGATTGAAGCCCGAGAAAAGGTGCAGTATTTCACTGGATGAGGAATAGATGTTGTACTGCTCCTGCTTTATAAAATTAGGTGCAGCCTAGTAGGCTGCATGTTTTCAGTTTTTGGCTGAGATTAAAGCTAGACAAGGCATAGATTTTTGCCTATTAGCTTCAACTTCCTGGGTTTTAACAGTAAATGTGGTTTTTGTTCAGTCGTTTCTGTAACAACCTCTTTTCCTGCACCATCCCTCTTCAGAAAAGGCCTTAGATATAGTGGATTAGTTCCAGAAATGCAGCTAAACCTAATTTGGGGATGATCAAAGTTACCTGTGGAATGCTTTGAGACACCAAGTTTTACTACTTTTATAATCAGAGTTTCATGATTGATTTTTTTTCCACACAGAAAGCCAAAATGACTGACTTCGATCGCTACAAGGTTATGAAAGCGAAGAAAATGGTAAGTGTTGCTTCTTTATGGGGTCAGTGCTTGCAGCTTTCACTTCAGGGTCATGTACAGATGCTAGCACCCTTAGTTTCACAGCTGGTTGGGGTTATAGAGTGACACCTTGATTGTGAATGCTTTGAATTTTCCATAGTTCTTTCCATGCCACCCCTTTCTCTTAAGTAGTTGGTCAAACCTGAACCCCCATGATCATGTGTCAGTCCTCCAGGCCACAGCTGAGGAAGGAATTACTGATGAAACTAAATGTTCTTGATGGGTTGCTGTGAATACTTCATTCTGTAAGGAAAGTTATTGCATGTGAAATACTGGGCTGCCCAAATTTCCAGCCAGAATGATGGTGTCCTTGTCCACTAGATCGGGAAAGTTTTAAGTGGAATTTGACATTTGAGTATAATGCATGGTAAGGGGTGATATTCCAAAAAGTTAGAATCTGAAATCTTAGAATTTGAATGAAGGCACAATATTTGAGTTCTTGCTCTTTTCATTCTGATGAAGAGTAAACATTTTGGGGTTTTTTCAGAGAAACAGAATCATCAAGCATGAAATGAAGAAGCTCCAGAAGTTGGCTTCTAAAAAAGGCAAGAAGACACCAGAGAAGCCAGAGAAGGGAAAGAAGAAGGCAGGGAAAGCAAAGAAGCCTGAGAAGCCAGAGAAGGCACCCAAGGCACCCAAGGCGCAGAAGCCAGAGAAGGCACCCAAGGCACAGAAATAAAATGAACTTCTCATTATGTATAATTCTGTGTCCTTGTTCAATTCTAAAATTGCAAACACCTGATATAAATCTTAATAAGTTCACTTTTATTTCTGATCAAGAGTTGTTGTCTGTCTCATTTATTATGTCCAAGTGTTGGATTCTAGTGCTCCCGGGAACGTGCAGAAATGTTTTGGCCACGTTCTGTGCAGCAACCACACTCACTATGCCCAATGCCAGTTAAAATAGTTGCATACCCAGTTATCTCAAGGAGATTAGGTCCTGACATTTTAAAGCAGTCTGCTGCTGGAATTGGTTAGGAATGTACAAAACTACTTGCACATGAGTGTGAAAGATGAGGAGTAATAACTACACTAATTTTTCTATCTAAATGAAGGCATACACTTGAAAGTATGTGTTTTGGTTAGATTACAAGCATGTCAGTGTCTGAAAAACTGACAGATTGCTGTACAAACATTTTAAATTGCTCTCTTTTCTAAAAGTGTACACCATTCTTTGGGTAGTGACCTGGAATGCTTAGATGTCTAACACCATACTTGTCCTGTATGTGCAGTTATTTAGTGACATAAAACGGAACTTGCTGGCTTTTATTTCAGCATCCTTTTCAGAATGTTTAATGTTGAGTTCTGTCAAGACCTGAGACTTAACTCCAGTTCCTTAAACTATGCAGCATATAATTTCCACTTTTTAATCAAAACCATTAAGTAAAAGGGGGCATGACCTAAAAATCCATCTGAAACACTGAAGTGCTCAATTTAGTCTTTGTATTACAAAGTAATGTTTACATATCTCAGTGTCAGGATTCATGTAGTTTCCTGTGTTTTCCCCTGTGCCATTTTCAGGCAGGAGGCAGATTTTCTTCATATTGAATGAAGAAGTAGTGGAAGTCTGAGGTACCTGGTAATTTAAAAGCAAATTAAAAGCAAATTATTTTTGCAGCCAAGCATAAACTGGGGGAAGAATATTTTAAAGAATGAAGGTTGTGAGACTAAGTATACTGTCAAATATATACTCAAATATATATTGCCAAATCCACCAATGAATGTGCTGTTACAAATACCTGCTTTTAAGTAGTTACATGGTTAGTGTTGCTTATTTCAGACAGAATTAGGCATCTGCATGCTCAAGCACTTAAGAAGTATATGGTGTTGTCTTAAGCTATTTATATGCCCGTGGAAATTGAGTTCAAGCACGTGGTTGATGAGTGGATATAACAGCTAAGGAAAAAAATCAAATTATGCAAATAAGGATTAAAAGCCATGTTCGAGTGTCTGGAGATACTGATTTTAAATTGGATTTTGAAGTGATCAAATCCACCTACTCTGAAACTTGAAAGTAACTTGAAAGGTCTACCAACCTGGAGGTCCTTTAAGGTGAAGGATTTGTCCCTTAGGGTTGGGGTTTTTTATATTCTGCTGTCAAGCTTGGTTATATAAGACAAGAAAAAAAAAATGGTAAAAGTGCCTGGAGAGAAAATGGATGTGCCTTCAATCATAATGAGCTCACAAATGCTTTTTCTACACCATTTGCTCGTTTTTAGAGGTACTGTCTTCCAAAGAATAACTTTGCCTGTGACTGCAGCAATTTATCCAGTGTTTTCATTCCCACTGGTACCACTCAGCAGCTACTGAGGTATCTGAAACTTTTCCATGACACAAGGTGTACAGTAATCTGCCAAGCCACTTGGCAGCTGGGATTTTCCTGAAGAGCAACCTCGTAAGGTACAAAGCATGCCTGCAGGGTTGTGTTTGTCCTAGCACTGCACCATGAGAGGGGATGTTTTGGGAGAGGGGGGGCGTTAAAGATTAAGACGCTGTTTGGGGAGCAAGCATACATGCCTTAGGAGAGAGCTAGGCTCTATAACACCATGCCTGTCATCAAGGGTTTCTGTGATAGTACCCCTTTCTACAGTTTGTCTGAATGGGGAGAAGAACAGTAATCGAACATACCCATCTTTGGTACCTGCATCATGTGTTTCTGACAGTGTGTTCCATGTGAGCAGCATCTAGTGCTCCTTTTGGCATCTCATGACACTTCTCTGAAACCTGCGCCTCTGTATCGTGGGCAGTCCACCTTCCCTTCCGTCCACGAGTGTTGTGCCGTCTGGGCTAGTTTGTCCTTTTTTTGGTAAAGCTACAGCAGTAGAGAAAACTACAGAGTACAGCCCATTTCTGAAGGTTACCACACGATGGCAACGTTAGCTCTTCCTAAGGTTGTTCCTAAGACTTGCCCAGACCAGGCAACTGCTGCCTTCCCCTGCAAGGAGCGATGGCAAACAAAGGGGATGGCACAAACACTTGAGAGCAAGGGATATGCATTTATTTTGTCTTTACAGCGGACTGAGATGTACTTTTCTGGACTAAGGATAGACTTCTTAATTTACTTTGTGGAGCTAAGTGTAAAGAAATAGGATCTGCTCTTTAGAAAACTACCAAAGGGAAGTCCCCGTTTGTTCTCTTATGTTATTTCATGTAAAACATATAGGGGCTTGCTGTGGGCAGAGGGGGCATGTACCCTATCCCAGTTTATTCCTGAAATCAGCAGGTAATTGCTGTACTTCCTAAACCGATACTGGTAGTTGGCAAACCCAGTCCTGATCTCTGTGCTGCAAAATCTGGGAGACATGAGCAATTCTAGGAGCAGGATTGGACCCCTTAGTATAATCTGTAGTTAAAAAGTGTAAAATCTGCCATTACCATGAACCAGCTGCAGTTCTGGGCCAACTGATTTGCTGGTGATGCATATTTCTTTTTGTTGAAAAAGGCTATATTTAAGTGCTTTTGGTTCTTGTCTAAACATGTCTGTACTGTGTTTGGCATCTGGATGTGTTTCCTTTTCATTTTTTGAAATGTAACAGACCTAAAAGAGAAATCTCTGGATGTACTGATGAACTTGTAGCAAATCTGGTCTGGTTTACAGCTGGATTCCTTCTATTTATTTTGCCTTACTTCAACTATAGCACCCCTTAAATGTTTCCAGCCACGTGTGCTTCTCTGCTTTTGCCCTGCCCACACTGATAAGGTGTCTCTGAAAGCTCCACGTGCCTGCCTTTCATCAAGATGAAAAGGTGCTAATTTCTATTCATAGCCTTATTGGTATATGAGCAAGTACAGCTTACATGCAAGAAGTAGTAACTTGAGCAAATCACAGGATTGCCTGTGTGGTTTGGGCTCTATTCATTTCAGGTCTTCAGCTTTTGGTTCTTCCATTTTATAATTCCTGGGTTGTGTTTTGGTTTTTGTTTTTATTTTGGAAATAGTTTTCAATGTCACTTTCAGCTTGAAGTTGCATATACAATTGTCACACTCAGGTACTTTTGAGTATATACTGGAATTTCTTTCACTGAAGCAGAAAGATTAGCATTTACCTGTTTAAGCACAACATCCCTACTTGTGCTGAAATACTGCAGTCCTTGTCCCTGCCTTGATGCAGGCAGTGGCCCTGTAAATACTGGCCATGTACCCACACCCTCTCTTTTTCCCTCAACAGGCTTCTTTCCTGGCAGCTGTTTAACTTTCAGTTCATGATGTCCTCACGTGGGAATGTGGCCCAACCTTCACTTTGTGCAGCTGACCCCTGTGTTGTGTTCTTGTTTTAAATAAATGGAGAGTTGGTAATGTTTTTCCTCACCTCACTTTCAGTGATCATAAGCTTGTCTGAATGGGCTCCAGACAAGGCTTTGTAGCAAACTCTCCCTCCTACCCCAAAAGCTTTCAGACCTTCATGTGCATCTGAATTAGAGAAGTCTTCCACCTGCAGTCAGCTCTTTGTGCTTATCACCAACCTAAGAATTATACCATTGCCACCAGCACAGAGCCATTTCCTCTTTCCTAAAGTGCATTGACCCGGTTCTTGTTGCAGAGGTAGTACTTTTTAATTACCCAGTGATCCCTGGTATGAGGGTATTTTTCAGGATATTTTGTTTGGTAACTGAGAACATCAGTCCTTGCACACAGTGAGGAGAGGCCCTGACCTGCTCATCATGGCCCTCAGCAGAGCTGAGCTCTTCCCTTGCATCCGCTTCGGGGTGCTGGTGGAGTGTGAATGTTGTTTTGGGGCACTGTGTTGCTGAGAAAGGTTTGTATGGCAGGATCTCAACAGGAAGCACTGCTTTGATGAAAATGATAGATGCTTCGAAAAAGTAATAGTGTGCATATTTAAACAGCATGAAAGAATAATATCTTTGAGATCAGCTGGATCATTACCTGAGGGGACACAGTGGGAGAGCACAACATCTGAATATTTTTCGCAGTCACACAGCAGTCGAGACTTTTTAAAGACACTGTTTGAACCTCCTATTTACAAAAGCCATCAAACAAAAGAAGGAGCTATTGCTAGCTGTGTTATTGCAGTCAGATGCTATGTAAAGGTGATCTAAAGAAAGGATGGGAAATAGGCTTGAGGGCTTTTTTTCTTCTTCCTTCTCTTCCTCCCTAGAGTCCTTGAATACCTTTAAAGGGAGAGAAGTTTACAACTGTTTATCTTTTATTTCTGCTGTTTGTCTCATTCACATTGCACATGAGTCTTAGCTCATCCTGGAAGTCTCTGTGGATAACGGAATAAAATCAGACAGTTTATGGCATAATGAAATAAATTAAGTCTGACTAGCTGAAAGTGGCATCATATTTGCTCTGTTGCTTGAAACATTTTTCATGGTCCAGGGAGAGGCTGGCAAGCTGCTGCCATTGGCAATGCCATGCAGGTCCTCATCCCAGATGTGAGCTGGCTTCCTCGAGTCCCAGCCACCTGAATGTGACCTTAGAAGGAAAGATGGTGACACAGTGGATATGCCTGGCCTCCACTGGCAGTGCAACAGTTCTGCTTGAGTGGGAGCCAGGCATAGAAGGGATAGAAACCAGGAGATATGGGTGTTGATGTGCTTCTCCAACCCATAGCTTCACAAGAAGAGGGATGCGGTCCCTGTCATGGCACAGTGTTGTGGTCCTCTGGCTCCCTTCACTCTCCACAATGCCCACAGCTCACCAGGCAGTTTTGTCTTGCTCTTCAGAAGGCAAAGGTGTGCATAAATCAGCTGGCAGGTAGGAGTGAGCACTTGGTTGTGGCTGTACTAACCT